AAAAAGAAATGGGTTGCTAATTAATAGCAAATAAGTCCGTTGCCATAGTGGCGAACGTGTAAAAATGATAGATCGGTATTTTAAATTCGCAGTTTTACAATTTTTTTACTTTCTTATACACATTGCTGCCAACACAGTCAGTTTAAAAAGAAAACAAAATGCAGAATCTGGGTATCGATCCCAGTATCTCCCGCATGCAAAGCGGGCGCTCTACCATTTGAGCTAATCCCCCCTGCCCGGAAAACCAGCGTGAATAATTAGGGGTAAAAAATGTTCCTCGAAAAACTTGGGTCTCGCAAAAGTTTGGCCCGATCTCGGAATCTTGGAAGCGTTTGTGATAGCTCTCGAACTCTCGTTTTCGGGTGATTTTACGTCTCGAGGTTTTTACGTCTAGGGACGTCTTTCAGTCTCGCAAAGTCTCGAATTTACCATTCTATACCCCTGTAATTAATTAAACTTAGATTTTTATTACACTAAACTATAAACGAGAGCCAGGATAAATCTGTACTGTTTTTAACTAAAGAAAACGAAGAAAAATCAAAGTTTATCAAAGTGTTCTCAGCAGATAGTACAAGCTGTTAGCGAAGAAAATAGATAGCTCTTTAAAAAATAAAACTTAAAATCATGAGTTAGTTTTAGACGCATTTCTCAGGGACACCGTACAGGTACTCAAAGGAACAAATTGATATTCAATGTTGACTTTGGTAGTGATATGTTAAAAAGTAGCCATTTTACAGTAAAATACCAAAACATAAATAATTTAACCATGTTATACTTTTCTCAGGACATAGAGCTACATAGAGCAAGATGATCAAGAAATTGATCGTGAATTCTAGTCCATAAGTTAAGTCCTAAAATCAAAAATCAAAGCTGAACGCTGGGATAGTTTGAGCCGCAACGAGACAGCTACTTTTTAAGGAGCAGGTGGAAATAGATTGTTGACAATATAGTATTGATTAGCTAAAGAGTCGACTTTAGATTAAGAATGGCCTGTTGGTCTAGTGGCCTGATTCTCGCTTTGGGTGCGAGAGGTCCCGGGTTCGACTCCCGGACAGGCCCCTTTTTTAGGTCTCTTTTGAAAACCATAAAAATATAACAACAATAACAACAAATCACAACACAACATAACATAAAAACAAATTATCAAACAAGCAAGCTTTCAATCAGACATGCAAATAATAATTTTCCCGTTAATTTATACTAGTCTTTGGATTTTATAAGGTAAGATTTATAAGGTAAGATTTACTGGGAGGAAGCGTGGCCGAGTGGTCAGCGCGTCGGACTCGCAATCCGGCGGTGGTTCGAGTCCCGCTCTGGCCACTTGCTGGATTTGTGCTCGGTCGTCCCGAGTTTAAATTCTCGACCACGCTTGTAAATAGCCAACTGGTTGCCTTCTGCCAGTTGGGGTTTTTAATCCTGTTATGTTGTATTTGAATTATTTGTTTCTAAATATTTGAGTGGAGTGCCTGTAAATTAGCTGACTAGCTAAGTGCACATTCCACTATAAACACGCCTTTAACCTTTTAACCTTTTAAGATATGCCGCTCTGACGACCCAAACCGACATGAGGGTAAAGTAAAAACGTCCCGCTGTTTGTTCACCTAAAGTCAGTCGACTCCCAATTCAGAACTGTTCCTAGTAAAAGGCTTCGAAAATCCTGGTTCTGTGGCTTTATATTGTCACTTTAAATGAAGCAATTCCGCCAAAGGCAGATATTTGTTCAGCCAACGAATTTCACATGACGAGCACGAATCCGACACTAACTACGCGGGTTACCCCACCTTGAGACGTTTACATGGCAAAATTTGAATTGCTGGAAGTTAAATAGATTTCTTTCAGGTTTACAGCTCAGCCTCTAAGCTTAGCTTAAGTGGAAGTTACAAATTGTTTGATAAAATATTTTATTCGTGAATTTGACTGAATTGTACTGCTAATTTTATCGTTCATATAGCTCGGTCAAACAAGACTTAGTAAATATCGCTCGTTAAATTTAGTTAATTTTAGTCTAGTAAAATTAACACATGTTTGTCCAGTTAAATCAAGACACCTTATTATGCAAAGCAGGGGGATTAGCTCAAATGGTAGGGCGCCCGCTTAGCATGCGGGAGGTACCGGGATCGATACCCGGATTCTCCAAATATCCTCTTTTTTGTACGCCAAACTCCAACTTCTCTTCACACCCTAATGTTTTTGGGCATTATTTTAACTGTCCCATGTTAAAGTAGTATTTTAAAAGTTGTCCTGACTTAAGGTGACTTCCTAGAGAATAGTGATCGTGCCCAACGTCCTTGCAAAAACGAACAAAGCATGGCTTCTCTGTTTAGAAATGTTGCTCGAAGAAACTTTGTTAACTTTCTAGAAGCCTTTAATACAAGAAGTTTGGTCAGTGTAGGTAAAACATTTATGACAGGCCAAGACAATGTTATACGAGTTACCAGTCATTTATCTTGAACTATCGATCCCCATAAGCGTGAATCGTATCATAAACAAAGCAGAAACGCGATTATTTGCTTCAAAAGTAAGCAATCTTAAAATAGTCTTAGTAAATGGTGAAAGGAAACTTTACAAAGACAACGAAAAAGTAAGTACATTTCCCTTGAAGGAAGCAATGTCGCAGTTGCCAATACTGTCTTAACGACTCCACGTTTTTCCACTTGGAAATATTTATCAACATCGTTTCTCATAATATGGCCGAAATTGAATCATGTCACCAAGAAAAATTGGGAATGACCAAATATGACAAAATTACAGCCTTGTTTATGGATGCCATGAACAGGCAACTATCCAGAAAATGAAACTTGATAAATGAGCCTTCTTATATGGGTACCCATAGTAGTGAATCTCTTGAACAAATACAAAAAGACTAAGTAACCGGTACAGTCTCAATCAAAATTGTTGAGACGATTTGCTATTTTCTTGCCCTCCCAATTTTGGTGTGCCAGTTTTGGTGAGCTAAATGCGATAACCAACATTGGGAGGACGAGGATGGAAGTACCCCAACAATTTTTGTCTGAGACCGTTGGTATTCTTCTGTAACTTAAGCTATTTAGCGAGGTTTATTAAAAAATACTATAAAGCGCCATCTTAAAAGAATAATTAAGAAATCACAAGTGCATGTAAATATTTTGTTCATGGTAAAAGGCATACATTTCTATTCTCACTGCATACATAACTAGCGCATCACGTAATTTGAGCTATATCCTTCGGATTCCGCCGTGCTCTGGGTCTTCGGGGCAGGTATGATGCTTTGCGGTCTCTTTGCTTAAATTCTCGTGTTTTGCCTCGATCGTTGTCATTTTGCCCGCGTTCCGGTGAAGGAAGCTTCTGTCGCTGCAATCTACCGGCACCAGCCTTTCATGTCATGGCTGCCCTTCCTGCTCCGCCTGCTCCTGTTCCTGACCAGGCTGTTGAAGAGCCAGCTGGCGCTGTTGAAGCTACTCCGCCACCAGTGGTTGAGCCTGAGGTATTTGTTGCTTTTCTTTTGTTTCGGTCAGCCGAGCCCTGCGAGCCACTCGTTTCTTTGCCACGCGTTTACGTATTTTTCTGTTAGGTATTTTTCTATACTTCCGAATGTAGTCCTCCGTTTTGCTTGCTGGTTGCCACGTGTTTACTCGGGTGTTATTATTCCATATGCTAGCGTTTTTGCCGCTTTGTAAGCGAGGTTTTTCCGTTTTTCAGTTTGCTGTTTAATTTGTAGCGTAAGAAGTTTTCCTTTTATTGTTTTGTTAGTTACCGCTTTCAGTGGCTTACTAAGGTGTTAGTTCATCAATGCATATTTTTTCACCCTTTATTGCAAGAAGTTTACACCTTAGAGCATAAATTATAGGACCTTTGTTTGTCTTGCCTGCGCTCGCTCGTTAAACAAGCAAAATTATAAACATATTATATCTATTAAGTTTGGGAAGGAAAAGGAAAGTGAGTGCTTGAGGTTTCCGCTTTGTTAGCGAGGAGATACCGCTTTTCCATAGCGAGAAATGGTGGTTGTAAGATGTGTGTTTATTTTTGCGATTGGGGGGTTTTTCGCTTCACAAACGAGGAGATACGGCTTTATATTGCGAGGAACGTTGGTCGATATTTCTACGCGAGGAGATACCGCTTATAGCAACGAAGTTGTGTTAGTGATTGTACATAATTTATTTTTGGGCATATTGGGAGTTTCCGCTTTTCGTGCGAAGGGATACCGCTTTAAGGCGAAGCCTGCTTAACGTTTTTTGTTAGGAGGTACCGCTTCTTAGCGAGGAGTACTGGTAGCGGATGTGTGTATATTACCTTTGCATAATTGAAGTTTCTGTTTTGTCATAATGAGATACCACTTTTAGGCGAGGAAATTATATTAGTGGTCATTATTTGTTTATTTATCTATTTCACGCATTCCTGTTCTGATTGTTTCGCGTTGTATGCGAGAACATGTAGCTTCATGTTGTACGACTTTGGGGTTATGTGTTTTCCGGCAGTAAGGAAGCATGCAAAAAAAAAAAAAAAAAAAAAAAAGATTGAGAGAAGCGGAGCTAAGTGTAAGGTAAATGAGATCAACAAGGGAGACAGGAACGTTAGATCGTTATCATACCGTATGGTTATGTATTTTCCCTTTTGCTCGTAGTTTTTCATTTTATATGCATATTTGAGGGATACCGCTTTGTAGCGAAGTGTCTTAGTCGTGCTGATTTGGGAATGTTTTTTCTTTACGACTTTGGTTGGTCTACTTTCGTTTTTGTTTTACGTGCTTTCTGTTCCTTTTTGGAGATTTAATCGGCTTCTATGCGTTCCGTTTTGCGGTCGTGTTTGTTGTTTTCGTTTCGTTTACCTTCATTTTTTTAATTTTTTCTCTCGTCTGTCAGGCTGATGTTCGTTTGGTTGAGTTAGAAAGAAAGGTCCGAGCCCTTGAGCAGGAGAAAACTTTGGAAACTACCGAGGGTACTTTGGTTAACCTTAGAAGATACCTTAACCGTCCTAATAGCGCTTTTGACCGTTTCGAAGTGTTGGACATTTTACAAGCTTTAATGCGCCTCGCGCGCACCCAAGCACACCAGAAGGCTGAAGAATATGCCGCGGCCCTTGACGAGGTACGTGCGAGATGGGACTCTCTCAGTTCCCCCGAGTTGCAGCGTTTATTGCTCGGGCTGTTGGGGGACCCCGTTATAGCAAAGGTCGCTAAAGAAGCTGCTTCCATACTAAACTCTGCTTCCAAGACGTTTGGTCAGTCGCACGTTGGCCCTATACGTCCAAGGCTTGGAATACCGTTCGGGCGAGGACCATATTTCAAGTGTGGCCGCTTGCGCGCACCTGTAGGGCCACTCAGGCGCAGTACGGACGGGGGACGTGGAGCCCTTAGTTATGGAGGGCGAGCAAACACTCGCGGATATACTCGCTTGATGTTTGATTTACAAGATTTTGTTGACTTGTACTTTCCTTTTTGTTTTATTTTTCGCTGTTAAATAAAACATTTTGCTTGTGTTCATCTTTGTCCATAAAAGCCCTTCTTGTCGTTGACCCTGGGGGACCTCCTATGTGTCTCTGTTCTGGACCTGGTTCGGATTCTGGGGACAACGAGGGGTTGGTTTCCCTGTTTGTCTCCGCCTAGCTTTACGGTTTTCCCTTTGCTCCCTTTTTCAGGCGCGTCATTCTCGTTTCGCCTCGCAGATCTTGGAGGCTCGGGACTCGTATTTACAGTTTCGATTTCGCGGACCTGTCCGTCTTCGCTCTTTGGCACAGGGAACCTAGCCCTTCGTTGGCCCCCTGGCCTCTCCGGAGATGGTTTCCTCTCGCCCGGAATTAGGTGTTTTGACCAACCTTCGCTTCCGTGACCCGGGTCAAAGCTGGTATGATTCACGAAAGTTTCCCTGTTTGGCAGCGTCTTCTGGCCGATTGTTACTGTGCAGTGGATCTTCTCGAGATCCTCCGGGATGGTGTTGGTGTGGAGCACTTTTTCACCCCATTTAGGGGGGATTTTAAGGGGCAGTTCTACCATACGCAGACCACTCCTTCCATTCAGATTAAGAACGCTGCTATTTGCGCATCAGGGGTTTTGTCCGTTTGGGGAGAAGTTGGAGTCGTGTCTCCGCCTCATTTGGTCCTTCCAATTACCATTGAGCCGTCCAAGCCTCGTCTCTGCCACGACGAAAGGTTTTTAAATTTATGGATTAGGGATCTTCCATTTAAATTAGATCACCTGGCTGTTTTGCCCCGGTATGTTTTGCCTGGGCATTTCCAGACGACCTTTGATGACAAGAGTGGCTACCAGCATGTTCGGCTGCATCCGTCGTCTGAGACGTACTTTGGGCTCGAGTGGGATAATTTCTTTTTTGTGTTTCGTACGCTCCCCTTTGGTTGGAAGGCCAGCGCCTATATTTATCATAACTTAGGTCTAGTCGTCTCGCATGCCGCTCGCTCCCTTGGGGTTCCACTGTCACAGTATATTGACCCCCGTCATGTGGGACAGCTTTTTGCCTCTCCGATGCGTTCCGTCATTCTTCCAAGCACTCAGAGAGCTGAAGCTGCAGCTTACATTGTGTGTTACATTCTAATCGAAGCTGGCTATTTCATTAATACTAACAAGTCGCAGTACGTTCCTTCTACGGTGGTCTGTTTTTTGGGTTTTTATGCGATTTTACTCGCCAGGCGTTTCTTATTCCCCAGGATAAACAGACGAAGTTCGCGAACTTGCGGGAAAGTATTTTGTCATCCTCCTGTGTCAGTCTTAAAACGCTGCAACGTTTCGTTTCTTTTGCCTGGTGGCAAGCTTTACGTCCGCGAAGTCTTTAACGTAATAGCCCAGCTTACGCGTTCTTCCAAGGCTGCTGCTAAAGTCCAAGGAAGACTCCGCTTTGATGTCGCATAAAGGCGCTTTTTAGACGATTGGTCAGATTGCTTGCCTTAGAGGTCGGAGCAACTTTGTATAGTCTCCCTGTCCTGATATGCCTCTAAACGCTCGTGGGGTGGAGTTATTTTTAAGGACGAGAGAAGGATCGAGTCCAGAGACTATTGGATAGATGCTTCCTATGATAATAACTCTCTCGAGGCTAAGGCTTTGGTACGCTCACTCTTCGCTTTCCGAGATCATGTACGTAATTCTAGGGTTGATATTCATACTGATAATCGAACCCTCAAGGCCGTCTTGGACAATTTTGGCTGCAAGAATTCATCTGATAACGATTCTGTCAAGGAAATCTTGGAGTGTAGCCGTCAGTTAAACTTGGCTATTGATGTCCATTATGTTCCTTCTCGCAACAATATGGCAGACGCACCTTCTCGAGCGTGTTCGGACCTTGACTGTATGTTGTAAGAACAGGCCTGGAATTAAGGGAAGCGCAGATTCGGTCTTCACTCTTTCGATCTTATGGCGTTAGACAGTAACTGTCGAAGGGGTCGTTCTTGTCTAATGCTTCCTCATTATTCTCCTTGGCCTACTCCGGCCTCTGAGGGGGTTAACGCCTTTGCGCAGCCCATCCCATTGGAGCATAACATTTACGCTTTTCCGCCTTTCGTTTTACTCGGTCGTCCGCTATTGAGGTATTTTTTGGATCAAGGATTCCATGGAGCCCTTACCCTGGTGGTCCCAGATTTGCGTCTCAGGCGGTTTGGTGGGCTCTCCTTCAGTCTGTCACAGACGATCGCCTTTTGCTTGGCAGGAAGGGCGGCGATGCTGTGTTGCTTTTTCCCTCTCGCTCCACGCATGTCTGGTCGGCGCGACGTCTTCAGTGGGACTTGTGGGCTTATCGCTGTATTTTCTAATTTTTTGCCGTTTATGGTCTTCTGCTAGATTCCGCGACCTTGGAAACCAGCCCGTCTTTGTGGTTCGTGCTTGTATCCGAATGACGCAGATGCCAATTTCTGTCAAGCGTGTGGGGTTCCCACTGCGCCCTTGGTGCCAGCTGTTCCCCGTGGCAGGGGTACTGTGGATAAGAAGGTTATTCAAGAGCGTTTTCAAGAGTTTAGGTCTTCGTTTGAGCGTCGGCCCTATCAACGTCAAAAGTCAGCCCTTGAGCAGCAGTTATCTACGTTTCTCGCGTCAGTTTCCCCGCCTAAAACAATTTCATCTTGTACGGTAGATGACGTTATTAAGTTTCTCATTTATAAAGATTCGTCGGGGCGAACAGTGGTTCATGTCCCCACATGTTCCGGAGAAGCTTGCGCCTGCCCCCGCCGTTTAGCCGCTGGCACCGTTGACTCCCTGCTTGGAAAGCTCAGGTCCATCTTTATAATAAACTTGGTCGCATCGACCACACTAATCCTATCGCGCATCCTTGCATCAAGGAATACTTGAACTTTGTTCGCGTCGAACAGGCGGGTATGGCTATTTCGCTTTCGGAAGCTGTGCCATTGTTCTTTGTTAAGTTCCAGAATTTAATTGCTCATTTACGGGGGAAAATTGTTGATAGTCAATCATTGTCTAGAATTAATCAGTATATTTTGGCTAGGGATGCTACCTTTCTTGTAATAGATTTCTTTACAGGCGACAGGGCATCGGATTTTGGTCGCCTATTAGCCAGCCAGGTTTTTAAATTAAAAGATCGTGAGGGTTACTTGTTGCGTTTTACCTTTCCTAAAACTTTGTGTAAAGACCCCTCTCGTTCTTTCGCCTTGGTTCCCCTTTGCAAAACAGACGTGTGCCCGGTTAATTGGATAACTTATTATCTCTCTGTGTGTGATTTACTTAAGGTCCGCTTAGCTTTTTCTTTCGGGCTTCTGACCGCAGTAGAGATATTAGTCTCAGGCCTTTCGTCGGCTCGGCTGTTAATAACTGTCTTCGGGGGTATCTCACCGAAGCTAAGCTTCATGACGGTGAAACCCCTCATAGTTTACAGGTGGGTTTGTCTACTACTTTGAGATTGCTAGGTTGTTCTCAACAGCAGGTTGCACAGTATATAGGTTGGAAGAGTGGGGAGATGGCTCAACATTACTCCCGTTCGTCTGATGCGGCGGCGTCTCTCACGATCTTCGAGGAAGTCCTTCCTAGTGCTGCTGGTTTGGTCACAGTGCCTGTGTCTCACCCCGACAATGTGCAACCTGTTTGTACCAATTGAATGATTTTCACTTTCATCTGTTATTGTTACCCCTAGTCCTCCTATCAGGGTTGAAGGGGATTTCTGAGTAATGGGAGAGGTTGGATTAAAATTGTGTTCTGTACCTTTTGTTGTGTGGTTTTGTATGCTTCGGGGTGCTTTTTGGGGTCAGTCGGGCAGCTGTAGCGTGGTTGCAAGGGTTGGAGCGGTCTCCTCCCATAACTTAGTTTACCGTGATGTGGTAATAGGTATGCAGTGAGGATAAATTACTATTCTCACTGCATACATAATTAGCGCATCGCGTAATTTGAGCTATATCCTTCGGATTCCGCCGTGCTCTGCGTCTTCGGGGCAGGTATGATGCTTTGCGGTCTCTTTGCTTAAATTCTCGTGTTTTGCCTCGATCGTTGTCATTTTGCCCGCGTTCCGGTGAAGGAAGCTTCTGTCGCCCCACCCTCCTCCCCTGGTGCCGGTCGACGTGGCTAAGCTTAACTCCCGCTGCATACCTTAGTTGCCACAGTTGTCGCGGTCTCCTCCCATAACTTAGTTTACCGTGATGTGGTAATAGGTATGCAGTGAGGTTAAATTACGATGTTTAGGCCTTTCGTCGACACAAGAGAGAATAATAGATTATTATCTCTTGGTCCACACTGATACCCTGAGCGTTTTCATCATTACTCGTCGATTTGAAAACGTTCTTAAAGTTTCATCAGAATGAAACGCATACATCGCACATCCTATTAGTGTGGACGGTCGAAAACGTTCGAAAACGCTTCAAAATGAAAACGATGTCCGAAAATATCATAGGCGCGTGTGTTTGCAGCATGCACATAGAGTTCAACGTACGTCACAACGTGGTCTTTTATTTTCGAACGTTTCAGTGCGGACAGTCGAAAACGCACCAAAACTTTAGTGTAGACGCGAATCGATCGATGTAGTTTGGATGAAAACGAAAACGCATACTTTTGAAATCGAATTAGTGTGGACAAGAAAAAATGATCTATTCTCTCTTGGTGTGGACGATGCTACTATTAGGGACTAGAGTACAAGACTTGTTTTGACAGCTGTCAATTGGCCACAACATGGATGTGCAATATCAGGTTGCAGGCTCCCACACTAGCTAGAAAATGTGACAGTTCACATTGGTTTCCCTGTGGTGCGGACGGACGGACGGGCGGTCACGTGACTATAAAATTTCCTTGATGGATAGATATTTATATTATCTTAGCTGTAGGGCTCCGCTCACGCGCGCGTGGAGCTCCATTACAATTTGGCTGTTATAGCAGGTGGCTCAGAAATCACAGCTTATCCCTGAGGTATAGTCTTAGCCACACCTTGCAAACAGGAACCTGAGGGAACAGGTGGACTAAATTGTGTTGAATTTAGTAGTGAATGACTTAAAAGTAGGCCCTTATTCAAGAATGACCTGTTGGTCTAGTGGCATGATTCTCGCTTTGGGTGCGAGAGGCCCCGGGTTCGACTCCCGGACAGGCCCCTTTTTATCCTTTTTTTCGGCAATTATAAGTCGCTATAAGCTAATAAATCGGCCATTTGCTTTTCTCATTCTCGTAGTGGCGACAGATTTCTAACTTGCACAAAGCAGTTCGCTGTCGTCTCTTTAGAGAAACCACATCATTGCTAAGTCTGTTTTCATGTTTGTTTTTGTAATGTTTCAACACACTCCATAAAATTTTCATTTCTAACACAAGGCAGCTTTTAACGTAAAGCAAGAGAGGATATCCTCTCTTTCTTACAGTTGGTTCGGTCTGGTGTGGTTTATAGCATTATATAACTTATCTTTTATTATGTAAATCATTTGAGCTTGTGCGAAAAAGACATTTTTGTTCCTGTGATCAAAATAGAAAGGTAAGATCAATTTACAGTTACGGTACTCGCTATGAAACTTGATTACTTGACTACTAGAATTACTTCTAATAAAAGTGACAAAGTCACAGCTTTGCGCCAAACTGTTATTTTTATATTTCACTTAATTTGTCCCCCAAAAAAGTTGGTGAAGGTTCCTGAAATTATGATAAATTTCGTGACACAGCTCCTTTGACATAATTGAATTATTATGTGCTTATGGCTTTTAGGCTTCGAAAAACTTCAACATTTTAATTTTTCATTTCATTTGATAAACTATTTCATCGATGAATTTAATATTTTTTTTGTAACTTGTATCCTTTATATGGCAATTTGAATCCTTTATTTTATTTTATCATATGAATAAACATCTTGTACTCTGAACGGGGCAGGGGGATTAGCTCAAATGGTAGAGCGCCCGCTTAGCATGCGGGAGGTACCGGGATCGATACCCGGATCCTCCAAATTGACAACAATTTCTTTTTGTACGTAAATGCTAACTTATTTTAAGCACGTTTTTAACAGTCCCGTGTTCGCGGTTAAAACGTCGTATTTTACGAATAGCCCTGACTTTAAAAAAGCAAGAAGTCATAAGGGTTAAGATTTTTCTCACGGTTTCTATGATGTAGGGTACATAGCCTCAGTTTAATTTTTGAAAAAAAATGCGTTGCTAATTAAAAGCAATAAGTCCGTTGTTTTAGCGGATAAAGTGCAAGACATGACAGATCGGTATGATTACACATTGCTGCAAACACGTTCAGTTAAAAGAATCTGGGTATCGATCCCAGTACCCACCCGAATGTAAAGCGGGCGCTCTACAAATTGAGCTAATCTCCCTGCCCGGAAAACCAGCATGAATAATTAGCTAAACTTTCACTAAGCTGTAAACGAGAGCCAGGATAAATCTGTGCTACCTTTAACTAAAGAAAACGACAAAAATTCACGTTTATCAAAGTGTTCTCAACAGATAGTACAAGAAGTTAGCGAAGAAAATGAACAGCTATTTGGAAATAAAACTTGAAATCACGAGTTAGTTTCAGATACATTTTTCAGAGATACCGTACAGGTACTCAAACGATCAGGTTGAAATTTAATGTTGAGACTAGTAGTCATTAGCTAAAAAGAAGTCAAGTTATCAAGAATGGCCTGTTGGTCTAGTGGCATGATTCTCGCTTAGGGTGCGAGAGGTCCCGGGTTCGACTCCCGGACAGGCCCCATTTTATGCTTTTTTGGAAGTTCCAATTTTACAGTCAAATAACAAGAACAGAAAAATCAAACCAAAAAATAAAATTAAAATATTCATCAAGCAAGCATTCAAACACACTAGCAATACAAGAAAATTTAATTTTCAACTAAATTATGCAGGACTTTGGATCTGACTCCTGCCTCTCTGATTATCAAGAGATTACGAGGGAATAGTATAAAGTCTATAAATTAACCACTGATTTTACGCCAAAAAGCAACTAATTGGTCATGTAAATTGATCGAAGTGAAAAAGGATGGGTGAAAAAAACTGATACGCTGTTCGTGACCTGATCAACTTCTTTTTTATTATTGTTAAATCTAAATTTTTTCGCTGTCCAGAGGCGCAAAAATCTCAGTAGTGGTATGTAATTGGTCGTTTGAATTGAAAAGACGCCATATAATAAAACTGCGTTTGAGTTTTTTTAAGTGTTTCTTTTCTTGTTGTCGAACTAAGAAAGCCGGAACTATCAACGAGTAATGTCACTGTACGGTCTTTTCTAAAGCCATGGAAGCACCATCCACTTTTAAGCGCTATCTTACTGTAAACGTCAGTGGCTACATCTCATGCGTCCATATTCAAAAGAAGCCCCAATAAGTACCCTTTCCCCAAGCTGCAAGAAAAAAATAAGCTTTCTTTTTACAGCGGAAAAAGACTGGAGAATCTGGGTACCGACCCCAGTACCTCTCCCTGAAAAACTGAAAACTGAACTGAAAACTTTATTTATACTCGAGCGTCTGAAGCTTATTAGGCTCCTAGCTTAAGTAGCTAATGAGTCGAGGTTAAAAAACAAACAAAGAAGAAATGAACTGAATTTAAAACTATTTACATCATAATGCGATATTGTTTACAGATAATGATTCTAAAAGGTACAATATTAACGATAGTCTAACAGTTACATAAAGAGCAGTTACATGCGTCAAAGGTGATCTTTCTGATGCGTGTTACAAATTTTTTAAGAGTCGGAGAAGTTCTTAGTTCATCATTTAGAGAGTTCCAGATTTTTGGTCCGTAGTACCTAAAGGTGTTTAGTCCATACTTGGTGGTGATAACTCTGGGTTGTACAAGAATCAATTCGCCCCGTAAATTACGTGATTTACTTCTAAGCGTCAGCAGATTGCGAAGTGGAGTAGGTGTTATTCCATGAATGACTTT